ATCAGTAGTTCACAGGAGATATTTTCAGACTGCTAAAGAAATCATAATGGCAATACAGATTTATATCTTATAAGAACCAAAACAAGCTACAGATACTGGTATACTTGCTGCAAATCCATTTCAAATATTTAATTCATTTGGATTTCTTAAACCCTGAACCCTGACTACGTGGGCTAGACACTGAGGAGGATACTGAAGAAAAGACCTTGTGACTTGCCTCAAAGAATTTATGGTATAGTTGGTGTGTGCTGGAGTGGCCTTGTGGGGTTTAAACCGAGCACTAAAGAATAGATTGGATTGTTAAGCAGGCCAAGAAAAGAGCATGAGTGAGAGTGAAATTTCAGAGTTGGGAAAGAGAATTGTATCCTTAGCAGATAGTTAGGAGGCTACCCTGGGTAGATGAAGGTAGCATGTTTGAGAGTGGAAGGGGGAAAAGACAGAAGGGCAGCATGAGGACCAAGCTGCACAGGACTCAGAATATCAAGTTGAGATCAAGCACTGATAGAGAGAGCCACTGAAATGAACCTCTTTTTATAAAGCCAACATTTACTAATACAATAATGTCAATCTTTTCTAAGATGAGAAACTCATGTGACAATGAAAACTCTAAAATGTGAAGCAGTTTTATAGAAAAGCAGCACAAATAATGAACTAATTTATATACTGTGATTAGTAAGTAAAAAGAGAGGTAATGGAAAAAATAACTACTTTGATAGGCCTTACCACTGTAATAAGTGTCATAAACACAATTATTCTTTGAAAGTGAAGAATTAATTAAACCACTGGTAGTCTTCTGAAGGCATGTAAGTAGACTGGACAATTAAGTAAGGATAATAAACTATACTAAGTATCCCAAACCCTCTAAACCATTTTGAATACATGTTAACTAGCTACTGGTTATTCTGATCTTGCATCTATTACATAATGGTTTGTTTATTCTTTATTGAACAAATAAATATTAGAGAATACTAATCCTAAGCACAGAAGTTTGTACAGAGTTATAAATGCCAAGAATTAAGCTCCAGAACCAAAAAGTGCAAATAAGTACTGTATCAGTTACTGGCCAGAAAGTCAAACCCATATATATATATATATATATATATATGTATGTATGTATTTGCTATCATTCTTCCCCTTCTCCTGTAGGACTGCTGTGCTTCCCTCAGGCCAGGGAAGTATGCTCAAGGCTATCTCCCCCATAGCTTCTGACAGCTAATGTTTTCCTTTCTCCTTGGAGAAGAATCAAGTAGACTAAGGGGATAATCCTAAATGCTTTTCTAAATTAACTCAAAAAAGTGAGTGTATGTGACACTGAAAGTCAGATTTTCTCTCTGCTTTATGTGGTGAACTAATATCCTTTTACACCTGGCACCAAACCAAAGTGACCCCACCCACCCACACACACATAAGCAGCACTTCCCTCTCCCTCCCCAAATCCAAGATGTTCCAGACAATATAACCACACAGTTGGGAATGATTCATATGTTTCCACTCTCTGTCCAAAAATGAGCATAAAGAGTTTCTACTTAATTTATAATCAGATTTTTCTGCACATTTCCTTAAAAAATTAAAGGGGAATGATTCAAAATCTGCACTTTCTCTAAATATTACTGATTAGTTACAGACTAAAGTATATTTTGGTAAAATATTTTTGTGTTCCATCCATCCCTAGAGACGAGGGCCATAGCTGCACAATGCCAAATATCTAATCCATCATCCAATGTTTTCATGTTTTAGATGTTTTCAAAAAGCTGGTGTTGTGTAGATACAGGCTTATTATATCCAGTCTTTTGTTATCTCAATAGTACATATGGATACAGATTTTTTTCTGTTTGGAATATTTCTCAAGGCCAATGCCTTATTTATAGTTCTAACACCTGCAAATATTTGGCAGAGATTGTTCCATCCTCTCCATATCCCCCATTCTTCCTGCAACCCCACCCCCATCTCTTGCCATTATGAAGCCATAAGTTTATACAATATGTCCTTTCCTTGATGCTGTTAATTGTCTATCTGTGTGACCCATAAGATGTATAATTTCTGGAGCATAATGTTTTAGTTTCAAATCACATTTCATGGGGAAAACTTAAGTCTAAAATAAAGTGGCAGCAGGCTGCAGTACAAAGGATCCTTAACTCATGGGAGGAAACCTTTGGAGTAGCGGTTGCCAACTGGTGGTCTGCGGACCACTGGTGTCCATGAGGTCTGAAAGGTTGGCAACTGCTGGTCTAGAAGCTTAGATCCAGTTTCAATTTTGTGACTGTGACCAAATTGCTTAACCCCGTGGTCGGCAAACTGCGGCTTGCGAGCTACATGCGGCTCTTTGGCCCCTTGAGTGTGGCTCTTCCTAAGCCTTAGGAGTACCCTAATTAAGTTAATAACAATGTACCTACCTATAGAGTTTAAGTTTAAAAAATTTGGCTCTCAAAAGAAATTTCAATCATTGTACTGTTGATATTTGACTCTGTTGACTAATGAGTTTGCCAAACACTAGCTTAACCTATCAAACTCTCAGTTTATACCACTTTAAAGTGTAGGGCTTCAACTAGACCAACATCAAGGCCTAACTTCTTATAATTCTAAAAATTGAAACTAATAAAATTATTCTTCTCTGCAGAAGAATTTTTTATTATTGACAGTATTATAAATGTCTCCCAATTTCTCCCCCACCTTTGTCCCCCTCCTCCCAGGCCCTGCCTCACCCAAGGCCTCATCGCACTATTGTCTGTGCCTATTGTTTATGCATATATGTATACTAGAGGCCCAGTGCAGGAAATTCGTGCCCAGCCTGCACCCTCTCCAATCAGCTGCCTGGATCCCTCCCTCACTGCAGTGGCAACTGCAGCCCCGACTTCATCCAGGAAGGATGTCCGGTCTAATTAGCATATTATGCTTTTATTATTATAGATTTTTCCCTAAACCTTGATAATGTCTTACTG